TTCTGAGGGAAGTCATATGGAAAAGGCTTGAATTGTCTGTAGATTTGTATGATCCATGACATCGATTATCAGGCTTTTGGAACAGTTTGGCCTCTTTTTGCATCTCTGTTTCATTAAGTGAGAGATCTGCTGTGTCTGGATATAAAACTGAACCTTTCATGAGGAGAAATACAAGTGAGAAGTTTCAGCTTACCTGTATGTATTACAAGATTAGTTTTGATCTGTTTTTTGTCAGACAAGCCCTTACTGCTTTACCGAAGACTTTTAAGCATTTAATTTTGACGAATGCTGCATGATAAAAATAAAGGAACAAATTGCCAGAATGCCAACATGGCCACATCTGGTGCAGACCGATGCAACTCATTTGAAGTCAGTGCATATACCAGATACGAATGTAACTGTTTGCGTTTTGTTTTAACGTATCAGTTCTATCCTCCATCACTGTAATCTTGCCCTGCTTTCAAAGTCTTCTGAAATCCAAGTGAATCACAAGAGATACTGAGTGGAATTTTTTCTTTCCTGGATTTTTTCCCCCTTCACTCCTTTTGTTCAAACACATCGTGCTGACCATAACTTGGTGATTGCAGAAATTTATGAAATAGAGTGTACGAAGTGAAAACATTGTTAACACATGCACTCAGATATATACATGGCACAAATGAGTGGTTAGGTCGCTGAAAGAATCACCATCAAAGGTATTTGCAAGAAATTATTTTAATAAGAATTTCTTTAACAGTGTTCATTGGCAAGGTTCACTCTATTCATTATTAAATGAATGGAATACAAAACTGGAGTAGGATTGAGGTAGAATAGTTTATACAGAGATTGAAGAAAGGTGTAAGGGGTAAGGAAGACCTTCCTATTGAGTCACAAGGTTTGGAATGGACCCCCTTGCTTTCTAAACTCCATCTCAGAGAGGAGCCTAGATGCGTCTGGATCCAGACTTAGCCTCAGATCACAACGGTTTATGTCTAAAGGATATGTCTAGCAGCAGTTTAAGGCTTGTTCACAGTTAGAGAGAGAGAAAAAATCGTAGGAATCATAGGAATTTAGTAGTAATTAATCATTGGTTAATTTAACTTTTACGAAGTGAGGATATTATGATCAATTCACACTCACCCATGCACACAGACAGTTTGGACAGATAAAGGTACCTGTTAAAAGTTCCCCTTGAGTTCAGTAAAATGCTCACTTCAAATAATTTTTCTCAGTGGGCATGAGTCAAGCCTTAAGAAGTGAGGGATCCCTGTAGTTCAGCCAAGGAACTTCAGAGTTTGAAGGCCCTGAGAGGCGTCCCACTCAGAGGGAGATGCTGGGTAGAGCCTGCTGCGGTCCAGGAGAGCTCAAAGGGCTTCGCTTGCTACTGCTGTTTATAGGGTTGCAAGATGGTGGACTTCAGGCATCAGTAAATTTCCATCCTGGCCACAATCCGTGTGAGGTAATTCTGGTATCTTGACAGCAACCATACAATTCTGTACTTCCCAGAACATCCATTTCTGACATTCACCAGACAGGGATGATCTGGGCAGGAGGAGTTCCAGGTGCGGTCAGTGGGTGCTTGATCAGCCCAACTCACTGTGCTTGTACAAAGGCAAGGAAAGTGCCAGGTCGTCCCAGCTCGCTGCTCTTGCAGTAATGGCAAGAACACAATGTAGGTTGCCAGGTGGGGTGGGGAGAGCTGTACCACTGCAATACGTTGTCTCCTTTTGCCACAGATTTGCTATTGATTCCCGAAGGCACAAAGTCAAGTGGCCCTACTGCCATCACCGTTAGGTGCTTGCTCTTCATTTGCCAATAAGATTTTTTTTTTTAAGGCAGAAAAATTGCTAGTATTTAAAAAAGAAGCTTCAATTTAGATTAGTAAAAACAGTAAGCTGTCAAGATGAAGATATGGGTGGGGGGTTTCAGTATGAGAGATGAAGAAATACTTTGTTTAAAGCGTATCTTTTAAATGGCATGGCCAGTATTCCTGCCCAAGCAGCAAAGTCATATTGGTAATGGCAGAAGTAATTTGCTATATTTAAAACCCTCCATTCATGAAAGTGCTAAAAAAGGTAAATTAATAATCCTGTCAAAAGTAAGGTCAGTTCAAACAAGACGGAGGTAGTTGGGACAAAGAGTTAGTTTATAGCTGTTATAGCCTCCTCAAAATGGTTTATTTATTTAGTTAGTTAGTTAGCTATTTAGTTAGTTAGTTATAAATCTCAGATTTGGACTAATATTGCCTGGGAGTAAAAGTTAACAGCACTTTACATGCATTTGTTATAATACACTTGTGTTCTGTATCTGTTGTAAATTATTTCTGCTACTTCTGTAGAATCTTCCTCTTGTACAAAACAGATGCACGGCATTTGTGGGAGACCAGCTCTCCAAGGATGTTTTGTCAATTAATTGATTTTCGCTTCTGTTCATGTGACTCTAATCAGAGTTTGTCAATGCATGGTAAATGTCAGTTTTCAAAAAAATCATCTTTGTGTTTAAAAAATAATTTTTAAAAGTTAAATGTTTAAAACTTTCAAAATTAGCTTTTCATTGCCACCAGTCCAGCTGGATATTAACTGTTAATTAACTCTAATTAAACAGCTGTAAAAATAATCCAAAAAATGGCTACCATAAGACAAGACATAACATCTTCTCCCTGAAGTAAATCAATGTCTTAATCTAGTCTGTCTAGATATGCATGTAAAAATACTTGCTTAAACTGGAATTCATTGGCTTCCTGACAATCTTGGTGCACAGACTTAGATTCTGGCAGATGCAGAATTGCCTTGATTCTTCAGACCACTGTCAGAGCATAGTGGTGGGAGACTGAGAAGAATCTTGTGTGAATAAGCAGAGGTTTCTGTTCCCTGAGTCTCTGCAGCCAAAATCTGACATCAGATAAATTCCTTTTAAAAATGCAGTTTCTATCTGTGTTAAGCTTCAGAAGGCCAAGAGCATGGGAAACTTTAGCTTTCCCAAGTCATGGCTACGCTCTGAAGAAGAGGATTAGTACTCACAGTGTTTCTTTGAATTTTCTTTGTTTGTTTTTGCTGTATCTAAGGGTAGGAAAGCAAAAAAAAATTATATTTGTGGGTTTTTTATAAGCTGTGTAATAATAATAATAATAATACAGAATAGCAATGAAAAAGCTTCTCTATTTGTCTCGATGCTGCTATTCTCAGTAAAAGTAAAAATTTTCATAATATAAGCATCTTCACTGCATGTCACAGAGATACTGTAATGGTCTGCTGCCCTCTAGGCAACTGTGTGAGTTATCTGTCGCAGTCTGTGAGGGTCTGAAGTGATTTAGGCTTGCCTTCGTACACCCATGCTGCTGCCGAACTGTTATACAACACTTGGTTATTTTCAGATTCATAATTCACCTGTGAGGAAAATGGTAATTTCATTTCCAGAATGAAATCACATCATGAATCTGTTCATGTGGTCTCTGGTCTAAATTTTTAAAACAAAATCTGTCAACCAGTTCTTAGAAATAGATACAAACGCATGTCAGTAAAAGAAGCAGCAATGTTATTTACCTAGCTGATAGCATGTTAGTGTACAATGATTTTTGTTTTGCTTAGTAGTTTTTATTCTCATATTAGCATGTAGTTTATATTGGCAGGTCATGGCTGAAAATCATTAATTGTATCACTCATGCAAGCTTTAATGCAAATCCTTCACATGGATGTTTTATTTATTAGGTTAGCTATAAGCAAAATAGCTGCTATAATTCCTCTGGAGATTGTTGAGAAGGCATTTAACAGCTAGCATTTCACTTAATTTGAAGGAAGCTAAATAATTCAACTATTTGATATAGGACCATAATATTATTAGGACTTTATGAAATATTCTGGTCTGTTCTATAAGTGGTTCAGTGTTGGGTTTTTTACTAACTGCTTTAGCGTATTCACGTTTCATTGAATTAGCTAATAACAACTTTAGTCTCTCTTTCTCTAGTTAGAATGAGTCATAATTTTTGTCACAGTTTCCTAAGGCCCAGTATGTTTTGAAAAAAGTTTGCTGAAGTAATTATGCACTTCTATTGATGTTACAATTATATCAATAGAAGTACATCTATGAGGGAGTGTTTTCTATTAGTTACTGGATTGTGTATACTTGTTTTTCCTGGTATCTTCTGACATCATTACAAATCTCGAACTGTGCTTTTCAAAAGATGCTTCATTGTATGGAATCTCCCAGCAGATGCCTCAGATGGGTGTGAAATAATTGCTTCTTTATAAGTTCGTGCCAGAAGAATCCAGATTCTACTCATTACTTAAACATAAGAGGTTTAGATACTTCACTGTATGTCTGAGTACAGTATAGCTAAATAGGATACACATCTATGTGTAGATATACAGAGGCTTTAAACATGTTGTTCTTTTCCTTAATTACTTGCTGTATCAAACGTAAAATTTTAGGACCATTTCTTCTGTTCATTAAATGGTTTGATCTGAGATTCACTATGCATACAGAAGTGGATAAATCTCCAGTATCCTGGCTCTATGTACTGGCCCATTTGAATGTGTTTATGTGAATATAGTGCTGTGTTCCATTTATGCTTAGAAATGACACACTGCAAACTTTTCAGCTTTTGAGTTTCTTCATCCCTTCATGACTATATAATTCACACAAGCACAGTATTTTTAAAATTTTGGAGAACTATGAAGATCCTTTCATTGTGATCTTCTGTATTGAATTAAAATATCCACTCATTCCTGGTAGATATTTTTTCTTGTACATATTGATTACAGTTATCTCCTACAGGACAACAGTACTTGTACTGTCACTTGCTGATTCCACACAATACATTTCTTTGAGTTTGCTCCAGTGAGCCCCAGTCTTTAGAAATTTTGGTGTAGCAAGGAAAAATATGTAACATTTATATTTTATTCTGATTAACAGACTGAGGTAGTTTGTTTACACTGTAGGGGATTTAATGATAATTAACAATCTCTGATATAAATTCTGCTAATCGAAGGAGTCAATACTTCCTGCTTTTGTTTTTCCTCCAGCTGTTGGTGAGAAGCAACAACCTTTCTGACAAGATCACAGTACTGTTTGGAAAAGTTGAGGAGATCTCCCTTCCTGAGAATGTTGATGTGGTAATTTCTGAACCGATGGGTTATATGCTGTTCAATGAAAGGATGTTGGAAAGTTACCTCCATTCCATAAAATGGTTGAAGTCAAATGGTGAATGTGTCACTACAGTTACCCCCTGCATAGAGAAAGGAAGATTAAAAGCTTCTGAAAGAAGAAAAATAGACTTGAATTGGTAGTCCAGGATTGTCTGGTTTCATATGTTCGTTCTAGCTCTACCACCAACATCTATGGGGCCCAGGGGAATTAATATATCGATACAGCCACCATTGCTATTGTACTGTGCTGTGACTTCTTGCTGTTTCACAGTGGAAATAGCCTTTGAGTGTGCTGCTGTTGCACTGCTGAGTTCTGCTTGCATTTTAATCTTACTGTGCTGCTATGTATACACTATGATTGCACCTCTGTTGCAACATATCACAATAGATGATGGCACGCTAGCCTCAGCTGCCAGACATTGGAATGTAGATGAGAGCAGAATGGTCAAACAGGATGAGCTTTTTTTTTTTGTGGAAAAACTCTAATATATTGTCTTTGGGAGAACAGTGGAGTTCAAATTGTTTTGGCATCCTTTCATTGGACTTCTCCCAAATACCTTATTCTAATACTCGGATGTTACCTTTTGAGTGACATGTGACAGATTCACAGCATGGAGTGCTCTGTACTCCATCCCTCCTGTATCTGGAGGAGTTTTGAAGGGAATCTTTAAGTTCCAGGGTCTCATGGGAATCTTCTTTGACAGGTAAATCTGAGCATCCAATTGCTGAATGACAAATCTTTCTACATGAACTGCTGAAAATCAACTATGAATTCTCTCTTTAAATGACTTCTTTAAAAGAGACCTTACTCAAGTAACATTACTGCAGCATGGAAGTTTTTGAAGCATGGACTGAATCTGTGCCTCAATGCAGGGAGCTAATGACATTGCTGTTGAGTTGTTTCAAACTTGCAAAGCACATTCAGGTAGTATTTTTCAAGTCAGTCACTGATCTTAAGTCTCCCACTTAGATTCTTAGGGCCCAGTTTCAGAGCAGGGCTTCTCGAAGATGATCAGTAGGCAGCTCATTTTCAGTTTTAAAGGAGTGAATGCTTTTAAAGATACATGCTGAACTTTCTGATTGCTCACTTGTACAGTGGGGATGAATCACCATATGTGGTGATTATTAAACTAAGCGGTTGTCTAAGAAGTGAGCTGAAATTGTGACATTCTGAGTAAGTTGCTAATATTTGGTATCAGTTAGGTTTGGAAACTTTCTGTCCCAAATTCTCTGCAAACTTAATATTCTCCCCACAGCCAGTTTTAAAGACCATGTCTATTTTGTGAGTGGGTGTTGTTCTTTACTTAAATTCCTGTGGACTCTTCCTACATGATCTACTTACAAGAGGAGAGCTGTTTCCTTTCCCTCCCCTCGTTTACCTGTCCTCCCCTTCAACTGTGTATTGTGTTTTGTGCCAGATTAAAAAAGGGTGAAGAAGTATGCTGAAATGTAGTTCAGAATTGCCAGGCTTTGTCTCCTGCTTCCATTGACATGTGCACAATAGAATGCAAGGGCTTTCATTTAAGCTGCTAGGCTGTCTGATGATGCACTGTCCACAGAAAATAATGGAAGGTAATTCCCCTGGTTTCCCGAACCATTAGAGTGCAAGAACCGAATGAAAATGCATTCTTCTAAACTACTAGATCAGAATTTCTTTCCCTGCTCTGTCACTGATTTGCCACTTCATGCAAATAAAATTATGTTTCTCAACTTTGGCATCCGTTAAAAAAAAAAGTTGAATATACATTTTTGTGTTTGTAAAAAATTCAATATTTATTCTGAAGTGCTATGAGTTTCCTGGATAAAAGTCTTAAGAGCAAAGTGCATACAACTACTTCATTCATTAACAGCAATTCTTCTAAATTTGACCAAAACCATACCCAGCAATTTAATTCAAGATGGAGTCTCAGCTTTAATGCAAATCCTTCACACAAATGTTATGTTTATTAAGTTAGTTATAAGCAAAGAAGGTGCTGTAATTCCACTGGAGAGTGTTGAGAAGGCATTTAACAGCTAGCATTTCACTTAATTTGAAGGAAGCTAAATAATTCAGCTATTTGATATAGGACCATAAAATTATTAGGACTTCATGAAGTATTCTGGTCTATTCTAAAAGTTATTCTGGGTTGGGTTTTTTACTAACTGCTTTAGCATATTCACATTTCAGTAACCCATATGTTAAAGAAACTAAATGTTAAGATATCTGAAGTGACAATTGCTGCTTCTGAAATGGTGGTTTCTTGCTAGTGAAGACATTCCTGTAGAGATGTCTGTGGGACTACAGAATCACAGAATATCCTGAGCTGGAAGAGGCTCATGAGGATTGTTGAGTTCAATTCTTTACTCCACACAGGGCAACATTAACATTAAACCATGTATTTGAGTGTTGTCCAAATGCTTGTTAAACACTTGCCTTTCTAATTTATATTGTATTTTGTTTACTAGGAATGATGTTCCCAACTTACAGTGACATTCATTTGGCTCCGTTTTCTGATGCGCAGCTGTACATGGAACACTACTCCAGAGCCAATTTTTGGTAACGATTATTTATGTTATTTTATTCTTATCAAAGATTAATAAAAGGTTAAAAATTAATTCAGTTATTTGATTCAGCATAAACTATCTGTCAAAACTGGAAGGGAATGCTTGTATGTTTTCCATGTTCACTTCTGCTCTGGCCTACAGTCATACTGTTTATTGTGCAAGTCTGGAGGATCTCTCAGGAAGTGCTAGAGCTGACTGAGTCTCTTTTTGAAAGAGAAATTGACTCCATGGAGCATCCGTTGTGAGAAAAAGAGTTCGCTGTGAATCAGATGCTAGTGTTTCATTTGCTAATCCAAAGCATAGTATGCTGTGGATGGTGATCATTGTATTGCCTGAAGTCCCAGGTGTGTGAGGACAGGAAAGATTCCCTGGCAGTCTTCACAGAGAATAAGTATTAATTCCCATGTCCTGAACAATTGCCAGTTTGGTAGTTACTTTCTGTTCATCTAAATTTTTCATGCAGCTGTAACCAGAAGTTGTACTGGTTTTCGCTTTGGAGTGTCCTACTGCTACTATCCACTGTTGAGCTGTTGCTGTGCTCTATATAGGAGGAAACATTTAAAGTGATGTTCTAATGAGGAGAAATTGAGATAATTCCATTTCAGCAAATGGCAGGTTTATTTTTAAACATCTCAAGTCCTTCAGGTGATACAGATCAGTTAATTTATAAATTAGCCATTTATAGATTATTATTGAAAGGTTTTGGATAAAAGGTACTGTGAACTCCGGGGTTAACTACTTTTAAATCTTCTGGAAGTTTATAAATGCAGTCTTTCAGCTGTTCTTTCAGCTTGCAGTGTGGAATGTGAACATTAAGTGGTCTTCATCAAACCTATTTTTTGGCTTCTTAAAGACAAACTTTTCTTCCATGCCCAGGTTACAGTATAATGCTTATACTTAGAAGATTTATTCTGGCTATCACTGAAGTAAAGCCATGACAAAATGTTACTATTTCTGTAGCAATTAAAGGAGTGAAAGAAAACTGAGTGATTTACATGCTGAATCCTTTGCTGGCAATGTTACATTACATAGTCAGTTTGTGCTCTTTTGTCTCACTGTGTAGGTTGAGCCAGTTATGAAATGTTTGCATTGTATATTTAGAATCACAGAAACTGCAACAGTATTCTTCTGTGTTAATAGACTGAAAAAAGAAGGTAGAAGTAACTTCTGATAAGTTTTCTCATCTCAACTGTCATTCTGGTCCCTCTTCCCAAAGATCGCGTTATTTTTGCTTATATACATGACATGTCGATGATACATATTAGACTATAAATTTCAAGACTGAACTACAATGTTGTGCCATGATGCAGATTCTTCATCACTTAATAAATAAAATAGATACATACCTAGTAGTCTGAAGCAGAAATATAGCGCTTTTTTCCAGGTCTATACAGGACTGGATGTTACTGCCAATATGAAAGCATTTCATTTCAGACTCCTTGGGATGCTTCACCTTCATTTGTAATAAATGTAAGACCTCTGTGGAATACCTGTGGAGTAGATACAGTGTGTGTGTGTGTATCTCCATGAACACTGATGTATGTGGTATTGTTATTTGTGGTGGGAAAAAATCAGCTGCCTTTTGTTGTTCAAGAATTATACAGTTGCGACTGAATAGCCCAGCTACATTAGTTTCTTATAGTTAACACAAATACACCATCTGTATTCTGAAAAAAAGAAGAGAACTTCATCTGCATCTAGCAGGCATGATTTGATGCCAGATATTCTACATGCATAAATTTAATAAGCTGAATTACCTGTCAAGCGCTGCAAGGCTTTCAGAGAATTGCATAAATTTTTCAAGTCTGCATTAGTAAATAATTTCTCTTTGCACCGAGAATGTTTTTGTAGTTGACATTATTATTACAGACCGTAGTAATACTTTGTAATCATGACAGTGATCTGGCTGGTATCTAAATTGCAACATACTGCAGTCTTTCCTCCACCCCTATCAGAAGGATGTCTCCAATTATTGACAGATCTTTTTCTTACCTACTTTCCATTTTTTTATGAGAATGTTTCAACCAAACTAACCACAGAAATGTCACACAATTACCCTTGATGATAGTCCTTGTTTATCAGGTTCTGTCTGACATATTCCTAAACAAAATAGTCAGTGTGCTTACAATATAATTTCTTGCTGTCTTGAGATGTCACCCGAGCAGAGGGCTATAGTATCAGTCCTCCTATCAGTCGACATATTTGTAGTTTCGGATGGCTGTATGGTCAGGGCATTGATTGGGCAAGATGTTATGAAGTGCTCTAAAGACCAAGAAATTAGTGCTTCTAATGTCTTCAAGCAAATGTGGGATCAAAATGTTCTAAGTGAGAGTGCAGTAGTTCTCCTTCTGCACTACTCTAGCACATTGATGTTCTTAATATTAAAAACTCTGGATATCCTGATAGAACCAGACCTATAGAAGACCTATTTCAAACAAAGGACTTTCTCAGGGCTTTCTTGGACACCTGAAGTAAACCATCAGGAACTAGTTAGTGACAGCCTGTGATTCACTAAGCTTCAAATTGCAGGCCTCAAGAAACAGCTTTCATTCATTGTCCAGCTTTGTTACTCAGAACAGAAGATGTGTTTTCTGTGTAATAAATCCTTTCCTATTTAGCTAAATCTATGTCCTATGTCCTAGAGATTGGATATGGTTTTGGATGCACTTGGATGGTAGTACTTGAGCAAAGGACTGAAAGAAATATCTAGATTTGTAATTCAAACTCTCATCTATAAAGGCACCAGGACTTTAAATAACCTTCAAAATCCTATGCAAAAATCATGCTGTGTGTTCTAACATTAGATGCAGCAGCTAGCATAGCCTGTTAACTATACAAAGGAAAAACTACATGTTTCTCATACACTTAGAATTATTGTCTTGGATCTGTACAGTAATAATACTTATGAAACTCTGCAAGTATGTTTTGTTTCTCTTCAGGCCTATAGATTGGCTTACTGTTGTGCTTCAGAGTTGCATATTAATTTGTATTTACCAGTAATCGTTCCTGAAAGTGTGATAATCATAGAATCATTAAGGCTGCTCCAGCACCTTGACCCAACACCCCCAGGTCCTTTTCCGCCAGGCAGCTTTCCAGCCACTCCTCCCCAAGCCTGCAACGTTGCCTGGGGTTGTTGTGACCCAAGTGCAGGACCTGGCACTTGGCCTTGTTGAACCTCATACAGTTGGCCTCAGCCCATCGATCCAGCCTGTCCAGATCCCTCTGCAGAGCCTTCCTATGCTCAAGCAGATCGACACTCCCACCCAACTTGGTGTCATCTGCAAACTTACTGAGGGACCACTCAATCCCCTCATCCAGATCATTGGTAAAGGTATCAAACAAGACTGGCCCCAAAACTGAGCACTGGGGAACACCAGCATAAATTGGTAAGATAAAAATACCCTATTCAGTTTGTATAGGATGACCTTTATTTTCCTCTTCAATGTCAATACAAAGAAACATAACTGTAATACAGGTGTCCTCATCACTATTTTGATTTATACAAGGTCTGCCCCCAGTTCTGGAATAGTTTAAGATTACAAAAGTATCTGAAGAATGCCTCATCCCTTCTCCCTATTCTCTGCTTGCTGTGTGGATTGTTTCAGAAGCATAGTGTGAAATGTCTCCATATGTCCATTTGATGGGATCATGTCACCTCAGTGCTGTATAGAATGTCTGTGGGGAAGGTAAAGTAAGGTATGGAGGGCTGCAACTTGGCAAATCTCGTGACAGACAGGATAAAGGCAAAGAGGTGCTCAGCCACACTTCATCTGCTATTTACAGTTATTGTGCCCAGCTCTGGTTGGAACTCAGAAAAAACATTTTTCCCTGAACATTTTATGTGTTACTGTTTCTAGGTACCAAGAATGCTTTTATGGGGTCAACTTGTCCGGTCTGCGCAGTGCAGCTGTGGATGAGTATTTCCAACAACCTATTGTGGTAGGTTTGTATGTCTGGGAGTTATTTTTTATGCTTTTCCCTCTCCCTATCTCATCCCCTCCACAAAATCCTACAGGTACAGTAGTCTCCTTGTTTAACAAAGATCTGTGGCTGTTGAGTGGAGAGCCAGGAACTAACTCTGCGAGTGTCAACAGAGCTGCTGTCAAACGTGAACTATGATAAGTAATATTACTGGGTTTCCTATGAATAACAAATGTCTAGAGATATGCACACATTGGGAAGTTACAGTATGTGAACAACTGTCTTCCTTACAGGCAAATAGCTTCACTCAGTGTTTCCAGTCTCTTTAACAAGCGACTTGACCTTGATTTTTTCCTTTTCTGATCCACCAATTCAAGGAAATGAGAATGTAGCCAAACAAACAGGTTTCTGTATTATGAAACAACCTTTGTTTAATATATAAATATTCTTATTTTGTTGGTAACTTGGATCTAGCACCCACTGTTCTCCTTCTTTCTCTTTAGTAAATGTCTAGGTGGTACCTAGTTAGAAAGAATGCAGGAGTAATCATTCTCACCTCTCCGGGGAAAAAACCTAAACAGTACCCACCCCCCATGCTTCCATGTAGGTGCAATGAAAAGGTTTGCTCTCAGAAATTTGACTGCAACAAATCTTGGCTAGCTTTAGGCTAACTAGTTTAAGTAGCGGTATCAGTGTAACTGCTGTCGCATGGAGACCCTAAAATGTCTCCAGAAATCTGGAAGGACCACCAGACTACTGATGTAACCTTCTCCACTCAATTGCTTTTAGTACGTGAAATGGATAAGAGAAAACTCTCATTTGTATTCATAAATTTCAGCCATATCTTTGACTATAGCATGGTCATTTTCAGTGCTGTTTCTTTGGGTTTTGGTTAAAGAATGGAGTAATCTGTAGGACTGCAGCACGTACTTGCATCTTGCATGAAGTACATGTTTGGCTTTGATTTCTTAGCGGAGATTCTTCCTCCCTTGAAGATCTGAAATGCATTGCCCAATAAAAGCCACATTCAATTGTTATGTCTTTTAAAAAGTCACATATCTCCTTGGCTTCCTCTTACTCTGCAGGCAGATTTTAGTCCTTAGATGGGTTCACTGGGGGGGATGTGATACAAGCCTTTACGTTAAGAGTTTGCCTTACTTATGAAAGAGCTTGTGAACAGTGATAGATTAGGATTAGTCCACGTGACTAAAGAAAGAAAAATGAACGGAAAAGTTTTCATTTGCTGACTGACTACTTCTAATTTTTTTTTATAGAGGGCGATCTATATTAAATAATTTTGCTTCCTACACTTCATAATTTAATTTTCATATATTACCATACTGTCTTAGTTTGGCTTACCCAACTGTGCAGTGCAGAAGAGCACATTCAAATGTGTGTAGTTTAAAGAAAAAAAAAACACAACACCAAATAAACCAGCTAAATAAACCCACCATTTTTTTTTCACAAATGATCAATTTCTGAACAAATTTTATTGTTTCTGTGTTGAATAAAACAGTCTTCGATGGGTATGAAAGCTATCAAACATATTAAATCCTGATAATACTGCAAAATCTAACAGTGTTCTAAGGGATGCTAAAAAATGAAACATTTAAAAGAACTATTGAGGTGAAGGTTGATTTTTGTATTTTTTCCCATTTTTTTAACAGAAAACAAGTTTATAGTATGATTTCCCTTGCAACTTTTTTTTTTTTTTTTTTTTTCACCCTCCATGGGATACTTTTGATGTGAGAATTCTGATGGCCCGGACAGCGAAGTACACTATTAACTTCATTGAAGCTGCCAAGGAAGATTTGCACGGGTCAGCAGACACCAGCAACCTGCTCTTAATCTTTCGTTTTTGTAACTGACTGTTGATCATTGGTGCTCAGAGACAGAGGAAGCTTTGGTGGTGGACATTGAGGAGGGAAGGTGGCATGCCAGCATGATTAGTACACCGCTCATAATGAACCAGAGCATTTATCTGCATGATGATTTGTCTTGTATATGTAAAGAAGCCTGTGAGCCTGTGTAACACCAGAGATCGGTTCACAATATTTTCCTACTAAAAGGGATAAAATGGGCACTGGAGGACAGTGTTTACTTCTTAGCATTGTATGTTGGGATAATGTTAAATCTAGTTACAAGGCAATTTTTGTTTTTCTGTGTAAACATCCTAGAAGACCTTGTCAAATGGTGTCATCACAAGCTGCCTTGCTAAACTCCTGTGTATCTCCTTTTTTTAAACATTTTCCAGTCTTAACAGGAGTCAGCTGTACCTCTTTACTTCCCTCCAGACCTCCTTCAAATGTTTAGTTGGAAAGTCTGATATATAAACCAGCCTGAATCCCTTGTGTCCCAGAATGACAGCAGAGAGGCCTCCTTCTCAGTACATCTGTGAAATGAAATGTACCATATGGGAGAACTTGAAGGAGTACTTTATGTCCTTGCAAGGCACTGTCATAAGGGCAAAATATCACAGACTGTGTCTGAAACTCAGACCCTTGTTGTTTCAACATGACTCACAACTAACTGTAGAAATGACATGGTCTAGTGAGTGAGAATTGCTCTAAGAGGGAGGATACAGCTAGAGAATTGCTTTCCAGTTTCAGCTAGCTAGTGTTGATTTCCTTCAGTTGTTCTCAGAACTAACATGTTCATACCTGAATGCTAATTTTATGATATGTTTCTGCACGAGTAGGTGAGATCCAGGTTCAGCTACATAGCCAGCAGTGGTTCTTTTGGAATGGAAAATATTCCAGCTCTTGCTCAAGCAGCTCAAGTTTTCCTTCTGGTCCCAGTCAAATTTGTAGTGGAACATTTTCATGTTCAAAGTAGTATTTAAACTAAATCCAGGTTCTTCACTAGGAATGGCAAATTTTCCACTGGAAAGACTGAACCCCTTTATTTATAACAGTCTTCAGTGTTGCCAGAAATGATGCAGTAACACTTGTGTAATGGCATATTTGATTCTGTTATCAAATAAGACACACAAAAACTAACATCTAAATCAATGTCATTGGTTAATTCTATTGACACAGAGAAAGAGAGCATATCCTTTTAAATATATGGAAAATTGAGACATAAACTGATAAATAAGAATGGAAATGGCTAAATTAGTACAAGGTAGGTTTCTGGTGGAATTTCCAGTACGTTTTGGAAATTACTTTGGCAGCATATTGTTTTTTCTCCTGCAGAGTTGAAATCCATTTTGTTTTCCAAATGATGCAGTCGGGACTCATCCATGGCCTGGCCTTCTGGTTTGATGTGGAATTTGTAGGATCTCTCTAAGTACTTTTTCCTTCTTCCTATGAAATACTGAGAAAAAAACTCCCATCTTTCATACAAGGTGTGCTATAATTAAGACCCTTATCTGGTGCTGACCTTGTTTGTAGTGCAATTCCTTCAGATGAAAGAAATCATGCCTTCTGGAGGTAACGAAAACTGTGATAACCTAGTGCTAGCAGTATGACTGGATGGTGGTGATTTTGCTTTCCATTGATGGGGTGCACATTATCTGTGGTAGGCCACATCCAGGAATTGTTGAACAAAATGCACTGTTCCACACAATACTGATTCTTTGTAATATTATATGCATTTCTGTTTTACATTGTAAGTAAAGCAGCAGCATTTGAACATAAGCTGGATTTTCCCATTTTGGGCTGGTCTTGTTTGAGGGCCCAAAGAAGAGCAGGTTGCAAGTTCCAGCTAACAAAATGTAAATGGAGAAAATTGCACCAGACTTGGGAAAATTTTTCACTGCGGCACCAGGCATTTATTTCAAAATGGGGACATTCACCTGGTATAGAAGTGGGTGAAAATTAGTTAAACTGCTCAGGTAGTCAACACATAGATTTCAGCTGTCTGTATTTAGCTCTTAGATAAGATTTGTTGATTTGCCAGTTAAACTGATGTAGTTTTAGATAAGGAGATTTTTTTCAATAAATTGTAAAATGCACTTCTATTTATTTGTGTTGATAAATGCCTTTTATCAGCCTTTGAAATGAGGACTGTCAAGAATTCAGAATGGACATATGTGCATTTGTTTTTACTTTAACAGCTGATACTAAAATTTTTAGTCTTAAAAAAGGAACCAGAAACTCCACATGAGTTAAAACAGTAGATAAAATTGTAGACTTGTGGAAGCTGACTGAAAAACCTCTGCTGAGAAGTCCTCTGTTTTGGAGTAGGCAATTGCTTAATCAGCATCTTTTTCATGTTTCTACAGCTCTGGAAGTTCTTTGTCTTAGCACTTGAAATCTCAGTGGATCAGGCTTGCAGCATGACCTGTGTTAGCCCCCTTTTCAATATATTACTGATACATCTCTTGCAAGTGAAAATTAGGTATAGGACCTTCTTGGGGAGTGTTGTTTAAGGATGAAACTACCACTGTGAAGAATCACATTGCCACATTCAGGACAAACCTTCATTTCCTGTAATTTGTTGAAATTGTCTGAGTAGTAAGAGGAGAGATAATTTAGTTTTCTCTGTCCTGGCAGTGTGGAAAGAAGAGAAAACAGGAGTCTGAAGAGTCTCTTTTTTGAATCTCCGTAAGTGGCTTAAGCACACAGAGCTGGTGGTGACAGGCACAGTATAAGAGAAAGAAGATGTGGCATGGTATTGATTTCCCAACATAGGTTATAATCATTCTCCCAGTTTACTTGAAGGCAGTGTAAAGATTATTATAAGCACTTGAGGCCTCACATACATACAGGTCAAATGACTTAAAACTGTTTCCAAAAGGAGGAGACAGGAGACATAGTCTAGATAGTTTTTCTCTTTTGTTTTAGGGGAACTGTTTGGTTGTCCACTGCACTGACAGAACCTCTCACTCACTGGTATGAAGTACGCTGCCTTCTTCAGACTCCCCTCTTTGCTAAAGGAGGGGAAACTCTCTCAGGGAAAGTCTTACTTGTTGCCAATAAGCAGTAAGTGTACAAGCTTCCCAAGCAGATTTTGCAGTGTGGCTGTTCTTGTTCGAGGTACCCAAAAGACAGCAGATAATTTTAGGTATGCTTTAACTCACATTTGTTATTTCGGGTACCATTACCAATTTAGATGGTATCACTGATACAGTTATGTAGGTACTGTTGACCTCGTGAGAGTCTGCTCACCAAAGGGTCTCCCTGGTCCACTCCAGTTACCTGTGATGTTCCTGCTCACATACCTTCTCCTTAACCACCTCTCACTCCTGTCTTACCTCACAGTGCTACGTGAAGCTTTTGTCAGCTTTCCACTCCGTTATCTTTCACACACAGCAGTTTTCTCAGGTCATGCCCAGTCATTGCCTGCACCTTGTTCTGGTAGTGTAACCTCTGGCCACGTCTTGGTCAGCAGCCTGGTTGTCTGCCTGAATCCCCAACACCCCTTGTATCTCAGCAAGTCCTGTGCAGAGACAAGGAGAAGTGAGATTGATCCCAAACCCATTATATTTTTAATTCTGAAAAAAATTCCTTATAGATGTGCTCTGCTGTTTAAGAATAGTGCTTTCCATGTGTTGTTTGTCCTTCCACTGAGGCTAGTGAAGACGGCTGCTTTTGGAAGGGCATGTTTCCTCACCAGACTTCCCTGCTGTTAGTCAAACGTTTTGTAACTCCACTCCTATGCTTTGCTTTGAAAACAATCCTCAAGTGACTGGGTCCCATAGGTTGCAGCCTGGTTTGCTTGTGTGTGTGTTTATGTGTAGTTTTAACAGAAAATAAAACCTCCTCGGTGTAGGAAGGTGAATCTTTTTTGGGTGGGGGGGGAGGAGAGGGGAGAGACACTGACCAATCAGGTGATTCCAGTGACATCAAAGCTGTCAGTAATACTTCCAGGGCTCTTTAATCACATCAGCCACTAATACTTGATTTAGGACTTGCCAAATTTCTAGATTATTTGTTTAGAAACTCCTCATGGAGAAAATAAATAATACAGATCTTCATCTGTCTCTTTGAAATGTAAAATATATCTGTATTCTAATATATAAAAGAAACACTATATGCCACTAAGTGATCACACAGCCACTGCTGTAAATATGTCAATACATAAGGCATATCTACAATAGAGCATGGCCCAGAGACACCTGAGCTAGCAACCTTGCCAGCTGAGAATGAGAAGCACATTAACCACGTGTTAGCACCGAGCTGACAAGTCCTGCCACAAAGCTAATCTGCTTTCGGAATCAACACAGCACCTCTGTGTAACTCCGCAGTTACTGTTCTGTGCAGGAGGACCACCTTTGCTCAGCTTGAGTGTTTTGGTATGCTCTTAGTTGGTCCTTTTACTTTTCAAGGTAAACTCAGTTTCTTGCAAAAAGTCCTCTGCAAAATACCCTTCTTGGTGAAATCCAGGATTACGTCAAGAGTGGAAATAATGCCATTTGACCAGTTAGATATTTTTGATCGTTAAATGATACTCTGACTGTACTTGCTAATGTTGAAATTTTTGGTATTTCTGTCAGAGGAGGGGAAAACGACCTTTCAATATTGAATACTATGAGTGCAAAATTATGATGTTTTTCAGAGGCAAACTCTTAAAATCACTTAAGCATCTTGTAAATTTTACTTCTTTAGACATGATTAAATAATTATGCCCTTGCACTGATACCACTGATACCACTGCAAATAAATTTTCTTTGCTTGTTATATCAAGTGGTTATTATTCAGACAGTAACTACATTGATATTTTTTCACACAAGACGTTCTAGTTGTTTTAGTTCTGTCACCTCTGTTTTATACTTCTCTTTCTGATGCAGACAAAGTTATGATATTCAGATTGTGGCTATGGTGGAACAAACAGGATTTAAATCTGGTAACACTCTTGATTTAAAGAACCCATTTTTTTAGGTAAGAAATGCTTTTGACTAAAATATACGGTTGTAGAGTGGTAACATCTTGTGTGACAGGAACCAAAGCACACCTACTGTGGAAGAACGAGTTTCTGACCTCTTACAGTTTATTTTATTTCTACAGGTATAAGGGCATCATTGTTTTGTATTAGGAGTAGTTACTTATATAAGCCAATATTCTATTTAGGCTGTGTGACAAAAAGAAAAAAGCTTTATTTAAGATCTGTAATGATTTAATGCTGTGACAAAATAGTAGACATTTACTTACTTGAACTAATGTATACTTAAAATCTCCTGCTGTTTCCTGTTGTGTGATGTGCATCATTGAGACTCAAGGAATCAGCAGTATGCCAAGATGCACTCTGCTAAGTACATAAATTGATGTTACTGTTTGACATGAAAGACCTGTCCTTTCTGTATTAAATATAAGGGAAGGAAAAATATCTACCTGCTGCAGTCCTGTCCAGCCAAGCAGGAACCCTCATTAGGCATTGCTACAGCACCGTATTTTGGGAAACCTGTCAGTTACAGATCAAAACAAGCAGGAGGAAGCAGCCGTCAAGTATTCCAAAAGAAAAAAAGATTTCTGAAAAACAGGCTGGCTGTGTTCTGTTCTAATTCTTACGCTAGATTTGGCATAAAACTAGGCAAATACAGTTGGTGGAATTTATTTTTTCCAGAAGTACATATGGAAAATGTTTCCCTCGTTCATTATGTGTTTCCTGTTTCCTATTTTTTTCCACTCAGACCTATATGACAATTTCACAGTAATCCTACAAAACAAAGTGTCCATTATAATCTGATGAAAATTAATTAATTTTGATCTGCACATCAGATGTGCAGCACATCAGTCATTTTGGCTTTAGAGTGGGGCCCTTTTGATTAAGTTCCTAAAAAGGCCTTTGTAATCAAGACTTTTTCTGGAAGACTTGCAATAACTATAAATAAAATCATGCACTGGAAAAGATTAATTTCGTCAGATTTCACCTGCCACATGGGCAGTGTCTAGATTGCTTATGGTTTTGGTTTGGCTAATACCGGTTTCAAATGGAAAAGGATTTTGGGAGGATGATTACAAATAAGTTTACTGGTTTTCTAAAATCTCTGCATTTACTCTCAGCACCCATTGCATAAGTGTGAGTGACTTTTCAAGGATGATACAAGTCTATTAATTTAGAAGCAAAAAAGATTTTGTTAAGAGTTTTTAACTTAAATGAAATGCAGAAATCACTTTCAGAATGCTATCGCTCATTTGCAAGAAAGCAGAGGGGAAAATGCTAAAGTTGTGCTTAACATATAGGAATACTTCAAGTTATATGAAGTGGTATTCTATTTTGAAAATTGAATATGAAAATTTCACTGTGATTTCATGATTGCTAGCCAGTTAACAATATTGAGTTCAATTATTTAGGCTGCTGTTCTTTTACACATTAATTCCTAGAGTGCTTTGTTCTGAAATCCTGCCACAACACACTAACCTTATCTAACAGGCTTCCCCTGTAAGGGTCAGTTAGTTTTTTTTATTGATCCTTCTCCATTCTGCCACTGCCCTCCCATTCCAATTACCAGAACTCTGAAAGAGTTGAAAAAACAAAGGCAAAGAATTCCCAAAAGAAAAATGCTTCTTTATAAACATGAGGTAACTTTCAAAGCATTCATACAGTTTTTAAACATTAAAATATAATGCAGGTTTTAAACTAGGACATGCAAATTACTGTGCATGGTGAGACATTACACCAACACATACAGCCTAGCTCTCTTCTACGTCTCTGCTTCACAGTGTTGCTGATACAAACATTTATGTCTGTACCACAGGGATGGAAGGGGAAGGGAAGGGACATTTTTCGCTCATTTAAAACAACTCCATATTAATTCTATAGCATAAGGTAAAAATAAAAGACTGGACTGGGAAGCCTTTTGTTTCTGTGAAGGCAATGTCCTGAGCTGCTACACATAAGAGCAAAAGAAAGCCTCTGCCTTTATAAAATAAGCTGCAGTGGGTGTGGTAGAATTTTACACTTGCTTGCACAGCTGCAAATCTAGACTAAAAGACTTACAATTTAAATTTGAAATTACACTGCATTTAATAAATCCAGTAACAGCCTAGGGGACTGATTCCCTAGCTTTATTCCAGTGAGACTTATCTGACATACACTGGCTGAGTGTTGTGCTTAAAACACTGTCGATTTCATAGAAGTCCTTATTAAATATCAAAAAGCTGCCACCAATTAGTAAAATTAATGCTATATTAGAATTTATTAGGTTTTCTTAGTTCGGCTAGTGCTGTAGGCTATCAAAGAACTGTGCATTTTATTATAACTGTTTTATTCTTTCATCCATTTTTAAGTATGCCTAGAATGTATTGTAATATGGCACCTGAAAACAGAAGTGAGATTCTCACCAACCTGAGTAACCAGTGAGACTGAAATCAGTTCAGTTCTTAGTAGGCCTGCTGGTGCTTATGTAAAATCAATTTGTAACTGCACATATCTGTAATTGTATGCAGGTCACATGAGAAGGGAATATTATGGTTCCATCCCTCTTTTTCTATCTGAAATTTAGCTTGCGCTCACATTTATAGACTTGAATTGCAGCAGACTCAATTTTGTTCCAGAAAATTCATTTGGTGTAGAACAAGAACGATTTCTTTGTGTTTGTTTTTATTTCTGTTTTGCAGTAAGCTCACGTTTGTTCACTGGTCTATTTTTTTTTAATATTCTTACCAATATTCTAGCTTACTGAACAAAACCTACCTCATGTTTATATATGTAACACATCAAAAGATCTTTGAGCAGTATGTAGCGTCCATGCTTTAAACATTCAGCACTTGTTTCAGATGTTTCAATCTTCGGTGTTAATCTTCTGGTTTACCAGGGCAGTGTATTCAGTTTTCTCTCAATGGACTCATTACTTTGGTTCATCTTGCATATACTTTGTAAATGTTCTGAGAGTTCTCTATGCCTCTGGAAGCGTAACAGGACACATGTGTAAATTACTTGCAGCATAGTGTGCTGTAAAACTGTATGGTAGCTTTTTCTGTAGCTCTGTGAGAGGTATTGATAGTCCAAGCTATGTACCTAGCAAAGGAGGAAGACTATACAGTTACATACAGATTTGAATGAGGTCTTTCTGCAGACAATGTTATCCATAAAGAGCACAGTGACTTTTACAGAATGTGTTTCTGTCGTTCAAATTATATGCCTTAGGCTGAATTAATGAGCTGGAGTCAAATCAGAAATGTATATATAATTTTACTACCAAAAACATAACAGCAGTGATACCGCTAGCAAGATCTAATCTTAGCCATACACACACTGTTGGAAGGCTGGTTGGAATGAAAAGCCCCATGAAAACTGATGCTTCTCTGAGGAAGTTACATGCTGCATTTGATGAAAAGACCAGATAAAGAGCCCTGCTGGGAGTAATTAAGGAACAGCTGTAGTTTCAGATGTTTCTCTCCACATCAACAGCCATTTGCAGCTATTTAAAGACAGGTTATAAGATTATGGAAAGTAGTGCCTAAAATTGTGAAACTTGTAAAAGCTACATGAACTTCATGGCTGAGGTCATGAAACCATTGAAGTTAAGTGTCAGAAAATGATTGCCTTGTTGTTTCCAGTAGCATTTAATACAGCGGGTGAGACTTTAAGTATAAAAAATGTAGTTTGCACAATAAAATACTTTTGTAACATAAATATATATTTAAAAAATAGTATTTAATGTGGGTTGCTGCCTCAGAATGGTAACAGAAATTATCATTCTAACCTGTACAAGCAGTGTAATGAGATTTCTGGTGCAATGTCTGATGGTAAAGTATCTATCCTTCCTAAATTTAGTCTGTACAGTCGTTGGTGGTTTTATGCTTATCTGAGAGAACGCAACAAATTCAAGAATGTCCAAATCCAAATACTAGCCAGCTGTAGTTCAATTTTCTAGAGTTTGGCAGGTTTTCCTCAGCAATTACGAAAGGAGTATATGAAATTTGAATCTGAATTCAGATTATAGATTTGCAATGTCTCCTATTGACATGCATGTCTGTTTGGATCTCACACTGCAGTCTCAAACCTATTCCAAGAAGTATCTGTATATCAAAGACTTCTATTTTCTATAGAGAAAACATCTACATTGTGAATTTCATGTGGCAACTTCAATTCTTTTTAGGGAACAAAGTAAATAAAGGGGAGAAAAAACAACAGCAGGCAGAAGTGTCAGGTTGTGTATCTTTATTTAATTTCAGAGCAAAAAGTGTGTGTATCTAATAACTGCACCTTCAATGTGTATTGAAAATATTGTTTTCACAGAATCACAGAATCACAGAATAGTAGGGGTTGGAAGGGACCTCTGTGGGTCATCTA